CGGAAAGTATTCAGATTCTTTCCATTTTCCCACATTTTGTTACTTATTCTAAAATTGATGAAATACGTTTTTCATCATCAACCTACACCGTAATGACAAAGTGAAAATAGGTTTTTAGAAATTTTTGCAAATATATATAACAAATAAAATAAATAATACCTTATATAAATAAGTATTCAGACCCTTTGCTATAAGACTCGAAATTGTGCTCAGGTGCATCCTGTTTCCATTTACCATCCTTGAGATGTTTCTACAACTTGATTGGAGTCCACCTGTGGTAAATTCAATTGATTGGACATGATTTGGAAAGGCACACACCTGTCTATATAAGGTCCCACAGTTGACAATGCATGTCAGAGCAAAAACCAAGCCATGAGGTTGAAGGAATTATCCGTAGAGCTCCGAGACAGGATTGTGTCGAGGCACAGATCTGGGGAAGGGTACCAAAACATTTCTGCAGCATTGAAGGTCCACAAGAACACAGTGGCCTCCATCATTCTTAAATGGAAGAAGTTTGGAACCACCAAGTCTCTTCCTAGAGCTGGCCGCCCGGCCAAACTGAGCAATCAGGGGAGAAGGACCTTGGTCAGAGAGCTGACCAAGAACCCGATGGTCACTCTGACAGAGCTCTAGAGTTCCTCTGTGGAGATCGGAGAACCTTCCAGAAGGACAACCATCTCTGCAGCACTCCACCAATCAGGCCTTTATGGTAGAGTGGCTAGACAAAAGCCACTCCTCAGTAAAAAGGCACATGACAGCCTGCTTGGAGTTTGCCAAAAGGCACCTAAAGGATTCAGACCATGAGAAACAAGATTCTCTGGTCTGATGAAATCAAAATTGAACTCTTTGGCCTGAATGCCAAGCGTCACGTCTGGAGAAAACCTGGCACCATCCCTACGGTGAAGCATGGTGGTGGCAGCATCATGCTGTGGGGATGTTTTTCAGCGGCAGGGACTGGGAGACTAGTCAGGTTTTGAGGGAAAGATGAACGGAGCAAAGTACAGAGAGATCCTTGATGAAAACCTGCTCCGGGGCGCTCAGGACCTCAGACTCAGAAGGTTCACCTTCCAACAGGACACCAACCCTAAGCACACAGCCAAGACAACGCAGGAGTGGCTTCGGGACAAGTCTCTGAATGCCCTTGAGTGGCCCAGCCAGAGCTCGGACTTGAACCTGATCTAACATCTCTGGAGAGACCTGAAAATAGCTGTGCAGCGACACTCCCCATCCAACCTGACAGAGCTTGAGAGGATCTGCAGAGAAGAATGGGAGAAACTCCCCAAATACAGGTGTGCCAAGCTTGTAGCATCATATCCAAGAAGACTAGAGGCTGTAATTGCTGCCAAAGGTGCTTCAACAAAGTACTGAGTAAATGGTCTGAATACTTATGTAAAAGTGATATTTCAGTTTTTCTAAAAAACAGTTTTTGCTTTGTCATTATGGGGTATTGTGTGTAGGTTGATGAGGGGATTATTTATTTTTTAAATCCATTTTAGATTAAGGCAGTAACGTATCAAAATGTGGAAAAAGTCAAGGGGTCTGAATACTTTCCGAATGTACTGTATATCAAATATTTTTCGAAGTGCTCAAAAAGTCCGTTATTAACAAGTTTTAACCACTCCTATAAAAATCATAGACTATCAGATCCTCAGCAAGAAGGTCTGATTTCAAACTGGAGACCCCTTACACCTCAGTGTTGTGATGGATAGAATTAAAAAGGTATAGTCAGATATTATTCATCCTAATCAGACAGGTTTTTTTTTACATGGACGATACATTGGAGATAATATAAGACAAGTACTGGAAACGATAGAACACTATGATAAATCTGGGAAACCAGGCCTGGTATTCATAGCTGACTTTGAAAACTGGAATTTATATATAAATGCCTGGACTATTTTAATTTGGGAGTACATCTTATACAATGGGTTAAAGTTATGTATAGTAAACCCAGGTGTAAAATAGTAAATAAATGGCTACTTCTCAGAAAATATTAAAATTGTCAAGAGGAGTAAAACAAGGTTGTCTACCATCGGCATATAATAATAATAAAATAATAATATGCATTTAGCAGACGCTTTTATCCAAAGTGACTTACAGTCATGCATGCATACATTTTTGTGTATCGGTGGTCCCGGGGATCGAACCCACTACCTTGGTGTTACAAGCGCCATGCTCTATCAGCTGAGCTACAATCTATTTATTATGGCCAACAAAATGTTAGCTAATAAAATCAGATCCAACAATAATATCAAGGGGCTAGAAATCCAGGGCTTACAAACAAAGGTGTCATTGTACAAAGGTGTCATGTTTTCTTTTAAATCCACAATTTGGTTCCCTGCACAGCCTCATAGAGGAGCTAGATCATTTTTCGAACCTCTCTGGATTAAAACCAAATTAAGATAAGTGCACAATATTTCGTATTAGATCGCTAAAAAATACAACTCCGACAGTGAAGTAGACATACTCGGTATTCATATCCTGAAAGAAAGAAATGATCTCACTACATTACATTTTTATAGAAAATGAAATAAGATTAGATAAGATCTTGCTACCATGGAGAGGACAACACCTGTCTATTTGTGGTAAAATCATCCTGATTAATTCTGTAGTTATATCCCAGTTTACCTATTTACTTATGGCCCTGCCTACACCTAATGACTTGTTTTTAAATTATATGAGCAAAACATATTCCACTTTATTTGGAATGGCAAGCCAGACAAAATTAAATGGGCCTATTTACATAGTTAATATGAATTTGGAGGGCAGAAATGATTAAATATTAAAGTATTGGACCTCTCACTAAAGGCTTCAGGCTCACCCCGTGTTCAAGAATGGCCTTTTTCCCTTAATTTAGATTATAACCTATCACTTTTGGTTATTTGATAATGAAATCAACTCCAAAATATCGCTATTTTAAAACTCAGATATACTAATTGATAAAGAAAAACATTTGTGAGAAGAAAAAAAAGAAAACGGTATAACTTTTGTAAATGATATAAATAGGACTGGTGGAGTTGTCACACATGCAGTTAACAAAAATATATGGAAATCTCTGCTCTTTCCAAAATTACAACCAATTGATTGCAGCATTAACGCAAACATGGAGGAGGCAAGTGGAAAGGGGAGAAGGTAAGGAACTTGTTTGTTGGCCCAGCATTAAAGACCAAAATTGGCTAAATAAAATTGTGATAATTAAAAAAGTTTAATTTAAGGACCAAAAAATTGACAGCTGCGCCAGTTGGGAGGAGATTTTCGATGTACGAATTCCATGGCACATGGTTTATGAACTGATACACAAAATGACGCCAGATTCAAAATGTAGAGTTTTTCAATTTAAATTATTATACAAAATTCTTGCAACCAATAGAATGCTAAATATATGGGGGATACAACCATCCCAGCTCTACTCATTTTGCTACAAAGAGACAGAATCATTAGATCACTTGTTGTGGTACTGCTCACATGTAGCTTGTTTTTGGTCACAGGTTCAGGAATGGCTGAAAAATTGCAACATTTACTTGGAGCTAACTCTGCAAATAGCACTGCTGGGTGATTTGAAAAGTCAATCAATCGATCATTAATATGATAATACTCTTAGCAAAATATGTTATCTTTAATTTACAATCTGTAGAAACTATGAGAATATAAAGGTTCAGAACTTTTGTGATACATCACAGCACAGCACTGTCTGGTCTTCCCAAAAAATACAGTAGCCAATTACTATTAATTCAGACTGCAGCAACATGTGTGCTAACAAAGACCAGAGGAAAACACACATATAACCTATTTTAAAGTCCCTGCATTGGGGTTGCCTGTTAGTTTTAGAACTGATTTGAGCACTACGTGGCCTTGCACCCGAATACATGTCTGATATGCTTTTGCCCGGTCGATCCCTTATATCCTCTGGCAGTGGACCAAAATGTTTGGTCCTGGCCTTTGGAACAGCCTGCTGGAGGATCTGAGGGCCTCAAACTGTAGACATTTTTAAGAAAGATCTTAAGACACACCTTTTTAGCCGTATTTTACTTAGGGTGCTTTTAGTCATCCTATTTTATTTATTTTATCCCAGTCTATATATATATATATTTTTTTTTTTTAAATGCATTAGTCTCTCAGGTCCACTGTTCTTTAATTATTGTTTTGCTATTTTAATTTGTCTAATTTTAGGAAACCTATTTTTCTTTCTCACCTTTTATTATTTTAAGCACTTTGAAATGCATCCCCTGTAAGAAATGTGCTCTATAAATAAAGTTTGATTTGAAGAATACGTAATTCAGAATGACTATATAATCTTGAGACTCAGAAGTGTAATTTTCCCTTTGAGCATCGTGCCTTTTAGCAAACTGCAAACGGGACATAGTTGTCTAATGTGGCGTTTTCTGATACAAAGCTATTTCTGTTCGAAAACATGTATGCAGCAGCCCTAATAAGGGTAGGAAATAAAAACATTAAGCCATAGTCTCCTCCTCCTTTTAGTCCCGAAAGGGCCAAGAACTCTGCAGGCTTTCGAGCTTTGCAAGGAGCCTGAAAATGACCCCCAGCTCCCACTTTATTTACTTTTATCTTTGTCCCAATCATCTGATCTGGATCATCTCACTCTACTCATCTACTTTCCTTCAAGAACTATACTGACAAGAGGAAACCTGTGTGAATCCCTTTAAAATGCATCCTTGTTACAAGCCCTGCTGCCTTCCTCCCCATCTTGAAGTAAGCAATCTCTGTGTGTAAATGGATAAAGTCTCCAGCTATTGCTTTCACCAATCCAACTTTGTCAGATTAGGCAGGGAGAAGGGGAAGGACAGAAGGAATGATGAATGTAAGTATTTTAACAGGGCCATGAATTGAATAATGTTTATTTTACCCATCAAACCTACACGGTGTATCGCTCCAGAGGGAAAATAGATGATAGGAAGCTATTCAAGAGTACTGTGACACAGCCAGACAGCGATTCCTGGTAACACAGCTTGTATGTTCATGGCTCTCTCAGATTCAGTAAACAATTGAAATGCTGCCTCGAGCCAAGTTCTGTTATGCTGACTCTGCCAAGTAGATACAAAGCCATGAGAATGTTTTCTTGTTAAGTGAGTGTATGTCTATATGGGATTAGTCAATCAGAAACGTTAACATCCATTAACAGCTATAACAACTCAAACGTAATGCATTTATAAACAAAAATCATTTATTGATGAAAATAACATTTCAATGTAACTTCAACAGAATCATCTTGCATCCTTAAAATACAAAACTAAAGCGCAAATAAGATCTGGTACACACTGCTGAAGGAACTTCCATAGTGTGTGTGTTTAAGAGATGAGCTGAAATGTATCAGGACACACTCATAGAGAGGTGTGTAACATCTGGTAAGACTCCAAATGAACACTTTTTACAAAAGCAAAGACTGGAACTACTCAGGGTGTGTGAATTGGTAGATGATGATACCATAGGTGATGAAGAGGAAGAGCAGCCCGAGGATTACCAGGGTCAGGGTCACAGTATTAAAGCAGCGTGCAGTATTCCCATGTTGTCTTGCTCCTTCCAAGTCTCCAACCATCTTCCTATCCCTGGACTGGAAAACAAAATGTACAATAATTTATATTATAGAATCATTCATATGTTGCTGATTGTGTTTATATAGCTATGCATATTAGTTAACAACATGCACACAACATAACATGTCACACTAATGGGAGGATCTCAGTAATGTATTATCTCAGTGGTTTAATACTCCTTAATACACTTTTGGAGGTCAGGTCTATAGATGAAGTATAGGCTACACATTTTTATAACAGTGTGATAACAAGCAGGCAAAACACGAATTTTGAAAAATGTTATACTGTCCTCCTCCTTCCATAGTTCAAAGTGGGTCGCCTATATAGATCTCGCCATCACGGTAGACAACTCCGCTGTGTCCTCCTCCCAGAGTGCGAAGAGCCTAGGCGTGACCCTGGACAACACCCTGTCGTTCTCCGCCAACATCAAGGCGGTGACCCGCTCCTGCAGGTTCATGCTCTACAACATTCGGAGAGTGCGACCCTGCCTTACACAGGAAGCGGCGCAGGTCCTGGTCCAGGCACTTGTCATCTCCCGTCTGGACTACTGCAACTCGCTGTTGGCTGGGCTCCCTGCCTGTGCCATTAAACCCCTACAACTCATCCAGAATGCCGCAGCCCGTCTGGTGTTCAACCTTCCCAAGTTCTCTCACGTCACCCCCCTCCTCCGCACACTCCACTGGCTTCCAATTGAAGCTCGCATCCGCTACAAGACCATGGTGCTTGCCTTTGGAGCAGTGAGGGGAACGGCACCCCTGTACCTTCAGGCTCTGATCAGTCCCTACACCCAAACGAGGACATTGCGTTCATCCACCTCTGGCCTGCTGGCTCCCCCTTGCTCAACTTCTAAATCCAGACAATAAAAGCACCCATACCAGACATTTCTATAATAAGTAATATAAGGAGAATTCCAACTCACCTTTATGGAGAAATACACAGCTAACATTCCGAGACAGAATGGGTTGCCGTAAACAAGGCTGCAAAGTGACCAGATAATGTGATCCCTGGGCTGAGGTACAACGGGTTGGGGCTGTCCCAAGACGACGGTATGTTGGAACTTGGCCGCTCCGTGAGGGTCTTCAAGACGCATGTACTTATTTCCTTTCATTGGGACAAACTCTGGCTGGTACGATGGTGGTTGATCCATGGCAAGCGAATATAGCTACTTATTTAGCTTAGTGTTAAAAAATAAACAAAGCTTCTCGGGCAAACGAGAAAGAGAGAGCCGAAGAGACGTTTATTTTGTGAGGTGAGGTGGAGGTTTTATACGAGGAGGGGGGAGTGCGAAGGATGTCGTCATAAGCACAGTTTCCAGTAAATGTGTAGGTTTTTTCGGAAGCCCTCTCCCCTCTCTTGCACAATAGGAGGGTTGCTAACCGGATGCTTCAGCTTTATAGCCCCTGTTACGTGTCTGGGTTACCACTTCTGTCTGTGGTATACCAGTCTAACGGTCTATCCTGCCCTCTAACTGGGCAAAATGTCTACCCAGTTTCACCTAGTTCCATCCTCTCCCACTACCCGCGACTAGACTTCCTCTCACTACCAAATTTGGAAAATGTGATTGGAGTCCACCTGTGGTAAATTCAATTGATTGGACATGATTTGGAAAGGCACACACCTGTCTATATAAGGTCTCACAGTTGACAGTGCATGTCAGAGCAAAAACCAAGCCATGAGGTCGAAGGAATTGTCCGTAGAGCACTGACGGATAAAAAGCAGTTGCTTCGCGAGCCTGAAAATTCATGATAGTTGGTATTCAGCAGTCATAAAAGTATGCCTTATTTACATTGAAATCACTACTCAAATAGTGATTTTATCAGACGGCATAGGCAGCAGCTCTATAGAGATGAGATGATGACTTGGAATGAAATATTAAAGTCATCAAAAAGACAAATATTTTATTAAAGTAATGTTAATTAATAAGTGATAAGCAGTAATAGGCAGTCACTACCATCATGGGACTTTTATTCATTGTTTTATTCTGTGTTCCAGCATTCAACCCACATAATGCATAGTGCATTTAATGTTAAAACATTTATAATTTGTCATCAAAAACCATGATTAGGTTTGAATAATTTAACCGACACCAAACCGACCTTAAAAAGCACTAATCACTCAGCACTAATACCAGTATATATATCCTGCCCTATATCTACCATCCATAGTGACAATAGTGGTAAGTGGATCGTTTGTCCAGTTCTGCAATAGTCAAAATAGTCTGCAACAAAATAGCAAAAGTGGATGATGGCCCAAATAAATTGTAGGTAGATGATGGTCATGTTTAACATAACAAACTTTAAAGGAAAATAAATGGCTACAGTTAACAGATTTGTAGTTATTTAATCAAATGTATTTTTTTTAGGAAATGGGCATTTTGCCCAGCTCCCTGGGTAAAATCCCCACTGGGGTAAATTGCCCCAATAGAAGATTATGCCATAGGGTTTCACAGAAGTGTCCCTATTTTTTTTACCTCACCTGCACATAAATTCTCTTTCTTCTTTTACCCTTTCCTTACACTCCATTATGTACAGTTTAACTAAACTCATTATCATTTGAATAAGGCAAGATTTTAAATCCCAGCAGTTTTTAAAACGAAATTCAAGAGCAAACGAATTTCAATAGTTTGTAATATTTATACAAAAAAGGTACATTAATTGGAATATAACTGATTAAATATTGATTAAACACAAACACACACATGAAACATTTCATAACAATGACAATAACTTCACACAATGGCATTTTCCCAGATTTTTTTATTGACACAGAGGTCGGAAATTAATCCCACCCTAATTAAATCCGAGCATATGTAACAGGGTTGAAATAGACATCCTTAGTTCTAGGAATTTTGTCATAATTAAGCAGCCTGGTTATGTATTTGTATGTATAGTTGTGCAGCCACCTGCTGTATTATCTGAGTAACTGCATCCCCTGTATATAATACATGTGCACATGATCACGCAGCATCCAGCCAAAGAGTTGTTAAACTTTGATGGAGATTGCTTGGTGGGTTTGCAGTTGTCCTGAAGTTTACACAGTGTTGTGTATGTATTAGCAGAATGAACAGTGAATGAGAACAGCACTGTGTCCTTCGTTGATGAGCCATATGAGAGCCGTTACAGACACCTCGTGAACCCACCTCTGACACTGCTCAGTGCTCACACCGTATCCAGTCCCCACCGCTAACAGAGAAGAGCTCGTTACCGAACAAACATTCTGCATCCCCTTCTTTTAGGGTGTTTCTTGTGGTTTTGGAACGTGGAACAACCTTTTTTCAGTAGTGCCACAGATTTCTTCAGTGTCATAGTGCCACAGATTTCTTCAGTGTCATAGTTTTCTTTCTCTCTTTGTTTTCTTCCTTCTCTCTTAGTTTTTTCCCTTGTTCTCCAGGAACCTCTTGTAGGGTGAGGCTGTCAGGAGTGTAGCCAACTCAGCCTTTCTTTTCCTAGGCCTCGCCTCCTGTATCCTTGGCCTGGGGGACAACTCCAGTACGACCTCTGCCGCTGTTTGTTGTTGTAATATAGAACTGGTTATTTTAACAAAAACAAATAAACAACAAGAACTCATGAGTATTGGTTCAATAAACAATTATTTAGAATCACTCTATATGCTACTATATAGAGTATTTCCTAAAATGAGTGTTGATGTTTTTTCTTACCAACATTCGGTGCAAGGTCACTGGAGACCTGTGGGTGCTGGGTAGGCTGTGGGGTGCACGTTGTGGCGGAGGTTGATGTTGTGGCAGAGGTTGTGGCAGGGGTACAGGTCATGGTGGGGGTGAAGCCAACAGCTCGAGCCAGACTGGTTGCTTGTGGGATACAGATGGATAATTCTGGGTGCCGCTTCATAAAACCGTAGAACCAGTCTATGCCTGCCAATCACATGATGTAAGTCCGAAAAAGGCCTCTCTACATTTTTTGGATATGACTCACCAGGTCACATTCGAAAGAGCCAGTGAAGACTGGTAACCTACCCACATGGCTGTGGCCTGGGTTTTTGGCCTGCTTGTCTTGGTGGCGCCTCAGGGCTTTGGGTGGCACATTAAAAGCACAGGCATCTACCTTAATGCCCTGCCCATTTTCAGTAGCATTCAGGACACAACGAAGCGCATCTTCACCATAGCCACCACGACCATATATTTTCTTGTAAACTCTCATCTAAAAATAAATAAATGATAGTATTTTAAGAATGGTGGAGGACTGACCCCTAATCTAACCCTAACCCCTATTCTAACGCAAACCCATATTCTAATCCTAACCCTGGCCCCTATTCTAAACCTAATCCTAACCCTGGGGGCTAGCTAGCTATGCTAGCAGACATTAGCTTATGCTAACTGGTTGTGCGTTTCCCTCAAACAAATGATCAACCAGAGGGGGGGCATCTTACCCCCAACATACAAACCTAACATATTACTACTTTACTCAAAAACAATCAAAAAATTTTCTCTCTAAACAAGTGGATGATTTATTTTAAGGCTTCCCTACATGTATATATAAAATAAATAATGGATCTAACTTCATTGGATTATATCTACAACTTTTTCTAAATTACAAAATGTGATCAACTTACCTCAAAATTGTGTTGATGGAATGACTTCAAAAATGTTGATGAAACAGATTACATTTGTAGTTGATCAAGACTAGTAGCAGCAAGAGGAACTGTTTTAAAAAAATAACTTGATTTTTGTGAGAATTACGGGGGGGGGGGCTCTTACCCCAGTGGGCATCTCGCCCCATAGTACCCTACCACACATAAACAGTTACAGTGAGGGAAAAAATTATTTGATCTCCTGCTGATTTTGTACGTTTGCCCACTGACAAATACATGATCAGTCTATAATTTTAATGGTAGGTTTATTTGAACAGTGAGAGACAGAATAACAACAAAAAAATCCTGAAAAATGCATGTAAAAATTTGTATCAATTGATTTGCATTTTAATGAGGGAAATAAGTATTTGACCCCTCTGCAAAACATGACTTAGTACTTGGTGGCAAAACCCTTGTTGGCAATCACAGCGGTCAGACATTTCTTGCAGGTTTGCACACATCTCAGGAGGGATTTTGTCCCACTCCTCTTTGCAGATCTTCTCCAAGTCATTAAGGTTTCGAGCCTGACGTTTGGCAACTCGGACCTACAGCTCCCTCCACAGATTTGCTATGGGATTAAGGTCTGGAGACTGGCTAGGCCACTCCAGGACCTTAATGTGCTTCTTCTTGAGCCACTCTTTGTTGCCTTGGCCGTGTGTTTTGGGTCATTGTCATGCTGGAATACCCATCCACGACCCATTTTCAATGCCCTGGCTGAGGGAAGGAGGTTCTCACCCAAGATTTGACGGTACATGGCCCCGTCCATCGTCCCTTTGATGCGGTGAAGTTGTCCTATCCCCTTAGCAAATGGAAGAAACACAAATATACCCTCGCCCCTCTCTTGAACATATTTGCCTTTTCATAGATGCCAGGTGAATTAAAAACATGCCATTGAAATGATGTGAAATAAATCAATTATCTTTTAATCATTTCCATATGCAAGAATTTCAATACATTTTTGTAATGGAACAGGTAAAGAGAGCAAGCTTGTCCACGGTAGGTGGCGAACCCGCAATCTTCTGCCAGAGCCTAGCACTCTATCAGCCCAATTCTATTTAGATGATAGCGCGCAGTGCTACGGGACAAAAAGGTTGAGAGTTCAACGACCATCGCAGACAAGAATATGGAATTAATTATTAACTAATTAATTGATCATTCATTCATTGGGTGAAATATAACCTTGCCTTCATTCCTATGAAGGCAAGGTTATGTTATGGTTATGAATTATGATTTATTAACTCAAGCAATTAAAACATTTGCTAAGTGATATATCATATCAATGCTTAGTTCTAAACTGGGTGTTTCGAGCTCTGAAAGCAGACCACATACCATGGGTATGACAAAATATGTAGTTTTACTGCTCTAATTATGTGGGTAACCAGTTTGGTAACCGGGGGTTTGTGATATATGGCCAATATACCACAGCTAAGGGCTGTGCCCAGGCACTCTGCGCTGTGTTGTGTTTAAGAACAGCCCTTAACCGTGGTATATTGGCCAATTTAATTGCTGCCTCGAGCCAAGTTCTGTTATGCTGTCTCTGCCAAGTAGATACAAAGCCATGGGAATGTTTTCTCGTTAAGTGAGTGTATGTCTATATGGGATTAGTCAATCAGAAACGTTAACATCCATTAACAGCTATAACAACTCAAACGTAATGCATTTACAAAACAACACAATTTATTGATAAAAAATTACATTTCAATATAACTTCAACAGAATCATCTTGCATCCTTAAAATACAAAACTAAAGCGCAAATAAGATCTGGTACACACTGCTGAAGGAACTTCCATAGTGTGTGTGTTTAAGAAATTAGCTGAAATGTATCAGGACACACTCCTAGAGAGGTGTGTAACATCTGGTAAGACTCCAAATGAACACTTTTTACAAAAGCAGGAACTACTCAGGGTGTGTGACTTGGTAGATGATGATACCATAGGTGATGAAGAGGAAGAGCAGCCCGAGGATTACCAGGGTCAGGGTCACAGTATTAAAGCAGCGTGCAGTATTCCCATGTTGTCTTGCTCCTTCCAAGTCACCAACCATCTTCCTATCCCTGGACTGGAAAACAAAATGTACAATAATTTATATTATAGAATCATTCATATGTTGCTGATTGTGTTTATGTAGCTATGCATATTAGTTAACAACATGCACACAACATAACATGTCACACTAATGGGAGGATCTCAGTAATGTATTATCTCAGTGGTTTAATACTCCTTAATACACTTTTGGAGGTCAGGTCTATAGATGAAGTATAGGCTACACATTTTTATAACAGTGTGATAACAAGCAGGCAAAACACGAATTTTGAAAAATTTTATACTGTCCTCCTCCTTCCATAGTTCAAAGTGGGTCGCCTATATAGTAACTTGCTCAACTTCTAAATCCAGACAATAAAAGCACCCATACCAGACATTTCTATAATAAGTAATATAAGGAGAATTCCAACTCACCTTTATGGAGAAATACACAGCTAACATTCCGAGACAGAATGGGTTGCCGTACACAAGGCTGCAAAGTGACCAGATAATGTGATCCCTGGGCTGAGGTACAACGGGCTGGGGCTGTCCCAAGACGACGGTATGCTGGAACTTGGCCGCTCCGTGAGGGTCTTCAAGACGCATGTACTTATTTCCTTCCATTGGGACAAACTCTGGCTGGTACGATGGTGGTTGATCCATGGCAAGCGAATATAGCTACTTATTTAGCTAAGTGTTAAAAAATAAACAAAGCTTCTTGGGCAAACGAGAAAGAGAGAGCCGAAGAGACGTTTATTTTGTGAGGTGAGGTGGAGGTTTTATGCGAGGAGGGGGAGTGCGAAGGATGTCGTCATAAGCGCTGTTTCCAGTAAATGTGTAGGTTTTTTCGGAAGCCCTCTCCCCTCTCTTGCACAATAGGAGGGTTGCTAACCGGATGCTTCAGCTTTATAGCCCCTGTTACGTGTCTGGGTTACCACTTCTGTCTGTGGTATACCAGTCTAACTGTCTATCCAGCCCTCTAACTGGGCAAAATGTCTACCCAGTTTCACCTAGTTCCATCCTCTCCCACTACCCGCGACTAGACTTCCTCTCACATTGGAGTCCACCTGTGGTAAATTCAATTGATTGGACATGATTTGGAAAGGCACACACCTGTCTATATAAGGTCCCACAGTTGACAATGCATGTCAGAGCAAAAACCAAGCCATGAGGTCGAAGGAATTGTCCGTAGAGCACTGACGGATAAAAAGCAGTTGCTTCGCGAGCCTGAAAATTCATGATAGTTGGTATTCAGCAGTCATAAAAGTATGCCTTATTTACATTGAAATCACTACTCAAATAGTGATTTTATCAGACGGCATAGGCAGCAGCTCTATAGAGATGAGATGATGACTTGGAATGAAATATTAAAGTCATCAAAAAGACAAATATTTTATTAAAGTAATATGTCGTGTATTGAGATTATGACGTTGTTAATGTTTTAAGTGGAACTGAAAGAATGTTGATTTTAGTATCAAGAGCAGTGGCGGCTCCTGAAAAAATTCTCAGGAGGGGCAATTTTTCTGATGATTTAGGTGACCTACACACATTTAAAAAAAGATATGTCCAGCAACAACATGAAGACAGGGGCAGCATATAAGTCAATACCAGAAGCATTTATTGACTGATCTCAAAAGTGTTGGCTTACCAGGGTTGGTGGAGCCCTCAGTTTCATCTTTGCCTCGCAAAGCTAACTCAAACACTCCGCAAAACTTCACACACTGGATTAGCCGGCTGAGGATGTGGCGGTTCTTGCTAATGTCGTAGTAAATATATTTGTTATAGTGAATATGGAATATGATATGTTGAGTAAAATGTTGTGCTAAGATCTATTTAGGTCAGGAGCTGGTTATAAGTTCTGTTCCTATCCAATAACAATGGACAAAAGGGTCCTATCTTGTCAGCCTTGTCAGCAGGTGGCCAAGGACAACACCCACGCCATAGGCCTCTCAGTTCTTCCAACTCACGAGTTCTTGCTCTGAGGACACACACACACACAAACACACACACACACACATCATCACTGTTAAACACACACACACACACACACAAAAATCCCCTCTCTTAGGCTGAACATTTGAAGACAGAGAACCCGACTCAGAGCCAATGCAACAGTGACAGTAGCCTGGAGGGGACCTCGCCCAACTCATCAGGACCAATCAGAAGATCAGAACTACTAGATTCAACCTACTTCATTTATTGCATAAAATGTCTGCACACAATGTTTCGGGGCTCTCTTCAGATAATAATAATAATAATAATAATAATAATAATATTAATATGCCATTTAGCAGACGCTTTTATCCAAAGCGACTTACAGTCATGCGTGCATACATTTTTGTGTATGGGTGGTCCCGGGGATCGAACCCACTACCTTGGCGTTACAAGCACCATGCTCTACCAGCTGAGCTACAGAAAGTGGATACTCATGGATGCGCATTGCAATTGTAAAATGTCAACACAATTGGAGACACCACGTCATTTTTGGAGACATGTTATTGACAGTAAACTATTGTAGATGCGACTGCTAACTAAATAAAACATTTTAGCTGGCTAGCTAATCATCTTAGCTAAATGTGGGGCAAACAATTCAGTTATTTACCGTTAATTTGAGGGATTGGGGTGAAAGAAATCGAGTTACATAGTGATACTTTACGATATACTGTATTGACAATATCGCAATATTTTAGCGCTAGTTGGCTGTACCTGCACCAAAACACCATTATTGTTCCTTCATAGCTTGTTCTCAATCTTTTCACATTGGGAGCCAATTTGTTTTCAGCACTTTTATTTCCATGACTGATCAAAACTCGTTCTCATGGCTTTCTGATCCCTCTGCAACAGACATATGGTGCGCAATAAAATCACAGTATCGAATCGCAATACGTATAGAATCATGAGACTCGCAATGCTGATGCATATATCTTATCGTGAGGTTCCTGGCAATTCCCAGCCCAAGTTCATTTGCCACAACAAATCTCTTCGCTAGCAAACGCGATGTCTTCTCCAAAACGGCAATGTGTCTCCAGCAATGTTTACTTTTTTGACGTTCTATGGCATCTCCACTTTCCAAGCATATATGACCACATGTAATATTTTGGTAAGTGATGCAAATAGTGAACTATGTAGGGCCAGGATGTAAAATATATGTAGCTGCAGCAATTTCTCTTATCTGATATGGTAAGTAATGGGGCTTAATTTATAGCTCCCTAAGAGTTTGACGAACGGGTCCGTGAACGCGATTCCAGATATCTTTACCTCTGAATAAACTGCCTTTATTACCATATCCACCCTGTCCAAAGTCTCTACTTGGTCTCAGTTCCAGTAAACTTGTGATTATCAACACTAACCTCATCGTTGTGGCGGCGGACAGCTAGCCTGTATCCCTCGTCATCCAGTTGAGTGAGTGGCAATGTCTTTTTTCGTTCGTACAAATTTTTGGAAAATCCTCGGGTGTAGGACTTTCCGCCTTTAGTAGAAACCTGTTGAATTATTAAATTTGGTCTGGGAGGTCCTAATTGTTTCGTTGCCAATTTATCTTCATTTGTTCGCCGACAAAAAGGAACTTCTTTCAAACAATCCGCTCTTTTCTCAGTTACGTTCATGGTTACGTAACGTATGACGAAAGCGCGTAAGTGCAAGCCCACAGACACCCATTGAGATTGTATTGAAGGCTCTGAAATTTGAAAAAAATAGATTTTACATGGGAGTCTATGACAGACTTCTGGGCGATTTTCAACCTGACTGAAATCGCCCCAAAAGGGGGGGGAGCCATTTGAAGCACGACTTTAGCCTGATTCGACATTTAGTGGCAGTGTGGCACTGTGGCAGATCAGACGTATAGATTACAACACTGATAACTACTGTTGCCGTGATATAATTGATTAGAAAAAAAATCCCTTCCTTTTCCCGTTTGGCAGTGCGTCGCCCATATCGCCCTATTGAACAGGCCGCCCCTGATCAAGAGGGAATGTTTTAGTGTAACGCCACATACAACAGACAGGAAGTGTGTTGTAGACAGCGGAGACTGGTGATTGGCCAGAAGAGGGAGCCCATCTTTTTGCATTGTTTATAAGTAGGGGCTAAACGAAGAAAGAAGTCAGAGCAGCCATTCTGAGGCGTCGCTCTCCGGATGTCATGACATCTGTCACTTATGCTGTAACTGTGTGATATTAATAAAAGCCTCTAAAACACGGTGCAGCCTAAGCGGACTCCTTGTTGACAGCAACAGCCACGAACAACAGACACTACAAATGTTAATTAATAAGTGATAAGCAGTAATGGGCAGTCACTACCATCATGGGACTTTTATTCATTGTTTTATTCTGTGTTCCAGCATTCAACCCACATCATGCATAGTGCATTTAATGTTAAAACATTTATAATTTGTCATCAAAAACCATGATTAGGTTTGAATAATTTAACCGACACCAAACCGACCTTAAAAAGCACTAATCACTCAGCACTAATACCAGTATGTCTATCCTGCCCTATATCTACCATTCATCGTGACAATAGTGGTAAGTGGATCATTTGTCCAGTTCTGCAATAGTCAAAATAGTCTGCAACAAAATAGCAAAAGTGGATGATGGCCCAAATAAATTGTAGGTAGATGATGGTCATGTTTAACATAACAAACTTTAAAGGAAAATAAATGGCTACAGTTAACAGATTTGTAGTTATTTAATCAAATGTATTTTTTTTAGAAATGGGCATTTCGCCCAGCTCCCTGGGTAAAATCCCCACTGGGGTAAATTGCCCCAATAGAAGATTATGCCATAGGGTTTCACAGAAGTGTCCCTATTTTTTTACCTCACCTGCACATAAATTCTCTTTCTTCCTTTACCCTTTCCTTACACTCCATTATGTACAGTTTAACTAAACTCATTATCATTTGAATAAGGCAAGATTTTAAATCCCAGCAGTTTTAAAAACGAAATTCAAGAGCAAACGATTTTCAATAGTTTGGAATATTTATACAAAAAAGGTACATTAATTGGAATATAACTGATTAAATATTGATTAAACACAAACACACACATGAAACATTTCATAACAATGACAATAACTTCACACAATGGCATTTTCCCAGATTTTTTTATTGACACAGAGGTCGGAAATTAATCCCACCCTAATTAACTGTAAGTCGCTCTGGATAAGAGCGTCTGCTAAATGACTAATTATAATTATAAATTATAATTATAATTATAAATTAAATCTGAGCATATGTAACAGGGTTGAAATAGACATCCTTAGTTCTAGGAATTTTGTCATAATTAAGCAGCCTGGTTATGTATTTGTATGTATAGTTGTGCAGCCACCTGCTGTATTATCTGAGTAACTGCATCCCCTGTATATAATACATGTGCACATGATCACGCAGCATCCAGCCAAAGAGTTGTTAAACTTTGATGGAGATTGCTTGGTGGGTTTGCAGTTGTCCTGAAGTTTACACAGTGTTGTGTATGTATTAGCAGAATGAACAGTGAATGAGAACAGCACTGTGTCCTTCGTTGATGAGCCATATGAGAGCCGTTACAGACACCTCGTGAACCCACCTCTGACACTGCTCAGTGCTCACACCGTATCCAGTCCCCACCGCTAACAGAGAAGAGCTCATTACCGAACAAACATTCTGCATCCCCTTCTTTTAGGGTGTTTCTTGTGGTTTTGGAACGTGGAACAACCTTTTTTCAGTAGTGCCACAGATTTCTTCAGTGTCATAGTGCCACAGATTTCTTCAGTGTCATAGTTTTCTTTCTCTCTTTGTTTTCTTCCTTCTCTCTTAGTTTTTTCCCTTGTTCTCCAGGAACCTCTTGTATGGTGAGGCTGTCAGGAGTGTAGCCAACTCAGCCTTTCTTTTC